ATGGGGGGGGGGGGGGGGCAACCCAACCCATTCCCATGCAGCTAATGGGCTGTACGACGTAGGGACACATTTCCCATGCGAAATGGTTAAGGGCAGTAAGGACTGATCAGGGCCCCTTGGTTCTCCCACGAAGCTATAGATACCGTTCTCACACTAGCAATCTACAAACACTCCTAAGGTACCTTGTTGCCGTGGTAAACCGCTAAGTTCCTAGGGGAAAGTTAAGTCTGGCTAGAGCGACATATCGCTCCTAACAGTAATCCTCTAAACTTATCATAGAAATGGGCCCTATCAATTAACAGAGTGTGCATGCAACCGTTTTCTAACATCATAATATATAATTCATGCAAACTAGGCATACCGGCTCAACGAGGCGATGACCTCCATCAAGCACCCAGAGCACAAAGTTCGCGCTCAATGGGGCGAATCCATCCATCAAGCACCCGAAACACGAAATACACAATTCCAACATAAATTAAACGCATGCATACATACGGCGAAAGCTTAAAGCATACAAGCAACACTCAAATAAATCACCCAACACAATCATAACAATTAGTCTGACTAATAATTTACATGGAGAGCTAATCTGAAGCAAAATTACTAGCAAGCATGCAATCCAAGCGAACAAGTATTTCTTCCCAAATATCGGGTAGTGACTTACCTGGTTGACGCGTGCCTTTTTGCTAGCGTTTCTTTGCCCGTGAGGTGTCCAAAAATACTGATTTCTTTAGATTAGGTCCCTATTCACGTAAAAACAGTATTAGAACTAGAACCAGGACAAAAATCGGGCAAATAGAGGGCAACCAGGCCAAAATGACCGTTTCACGTGCGCTCACGCGCCAGTAGTGCGCTGACCACGAGCGTGGACGTGCGTCAGTCACAGGCCGCGGGCGCGCCTACCACGCGCGGCAGCCTTGGCATAGTCGCGGTTCGGCTCGGCTCGGCTCTCGTTTGCAGTTTAGATCGGCTTTGCAGGAGACACGTGTCGTTGCCTCGCTGGAGCTGCATTGCTCCAGCCGACGGTCGACGTGTGTTCGGCGCCTGTCATGCCGCCCTCCATCGCTCGCCGGCCGACCTTCTTTTCTTTTTTTTCCTTCACTGTCCTCTGCAATCTGTAACACAGTCCCCTTACCAATTTTCATATCTTTCGATCCGTAGATCGGATCGATATGATTTCTTCGGCAAAGTTCTAGATCGTGTTACGGGCTACGTGCTAGTATTTTTTTTTGTAATATTTTGCTTGACTACTGGACGAGTTAAGAACGTCGGAAGTTCGCTCACCGTTCTCGGATCTCCGCCTTCGGGTTGAGGTCTCAGCCAAACTTCTTCACAGATCGTGCATAGAGTTGTTCCTAGGTGAATATTTTAGCATTTTAGGACTCGATTGACATAGGAAAAACTCAGATCCGAAATATGTCGTTCAGAACCTTACCTCGCGAAACGTTCTTGAATCTTGACGGATCGTCGGTCCCGCTAGCCTCCCAATTCTGTACAAGTCTCGTCTGATGGTGGATTCTGACGGTGGTCCAATAAACTTCCCTGCTGACTCCTCTCAGATTTCTCTCTAACTCTCTTTTTCTTTTGTAGGGGATTTGACGGGGTTCTCCTTGGACCCCTATTAGGGCTGGAGGGGCAAAATGACATTTTTGCCCCTCAATTGACTTAGCCCCTTTATTATTATTATTATTATTATTTTTTGGCTTTACACCATGACACATGCATAGGGTAGTAGTATTTATTTTCTTAGACTTAGGCTAGAATATGATGTTTTTAATTTAAACGTTTATTTATTTTATTTAGTCTTTTATTGTGTCGTTTTTAAAGGTGTTTTCAAAACACGCAAGTTAATGACTCTATTTTAAGATGAATGTGACGTTTTATGAAAGTTTAAAGGAAGTATTTCCACAATCAATGTTCATGATATATATACAGTAGCGACCTTAAATTAAGTAGAAAATTTCGGATCGTTACAGATTACATTAATAACTTTGGATTTTTCATACTAGAGATAATATTAAATTATAAATAAAATAGTTAAATTTAATATTGAAAATTAAATAATTAACTATTAGATTTTTTAGCATAAATCCCAACACCTATCACATCTATGTAGGTCGAGAAATTGGTTTCATCCAAAATTTTTCACTTTACACAGTTATTGATTGACGAAGAAGGAAACTCACCAACCTCCTTTTCTTTATTTTCTTTTCTTCTTCCTCCTGGTTTAGGGTGCTCTAGACCTTATCCCCTTACTCCCTTACTTTCTTAAGGATGCAAACTTACTATTTCATATTTTTTTTTTGGATTCTTTTAACCATAAAAGTCAATCTATCCCCCTAAATGTTTCTTGGGCTCCTCAAGTCTTGCTTCCTTCATCAAAGCTGCTACATTAATCACCACGAACCTAAGAGAATTAGTCTTACTTCTCTTTAACTTGAGCTTATCAACCATTACGTCATTATTGAAAAATGTTTCTTTGGTTCCTAAAATTAATATTGAATTGGTCCTACTGAACGAATTTTTGTTTGAGGGTTATAATGAAAATCTAATTTTTCCTAGTATGCTTGACACAAAAAAAAAAAATAAATAATAAATAATAAATAAATAAATAAAAAATAAATCTGGGTTCTCAAGTTTGATTAAGTTTCTCCTCAAATTGGAGATAAAATAAATAATAAATAAATAAATAAAAAATAAATCTTGGTTCTCAAGTTTGATTAAGTTTCTCCTCAAATTGGAGACATGGTTGGGTAGCCCTTTACTTCTCCATTAATAGCCCCACGGACACCTATGCCAATTTTGTTTGAATCTTCCTAAAATCTTTATCTGAAAAGTTTGAGTCAGATTCGTAATTTCTAGAACATCGATTTTCGCGGTCTCACTCAGGTCCATCTAAGTCATTGGATGGCCTCATGGCAGACCTATAAGTCTTAGGTGGCTTCCCAATCATCAAGACTATTTTTAAATTTCCTAATTTTCAGAGTTAATTTGTCTAAATTCCTTTTTCAATTTATTTTAATATTTATTTTTTTTATATAACCTTTATTTTGAACGCGTAGATTTTTGCTCCATACTTGATTAAAAATCATATAGGGCTTATTATAGTTATAAATGTAATTTAAAACTTACGAAAGAAACAAAAAAAGTTTAGGGCATGGCTTTGAGACCATGAAAAGAATCCCGACTCTCCACAATGATATAACAATTCTTTGACATGGCTAAGTTTAGGGCATGGCTTTGAGACCATGAAAAGAATCCCGACTCTCCACAATGATATAATATTGTCCACTTTGAGTATAAACTCTCATGGCTTTGCTTTCGGCTTCCCCAAAAGGCATCATACCAATGAAAATAGTATTCCTCACTTATAAATCCATGATCTTTCACTAAATTAAACAATGTGGGACTCACTCCCAATAATCCTCAACACTAATCCGATCAGAGCTAAAAGTGGGGGAATGGAAGGCATTCAAATGACGAGTACCCTAGACAATACGGATCGAATGACTGACACCAAGAATGATATAGACAATCCTTGATGTGATTTATCATTATTTATTTGAATAATAGTCCGAGAGTCAAATATTTATCTATATATTTCCGTTATTGTTTTAATAAACTTAATATATCTTTCTTCTAAAGAATAAAAAAGATTTGACGTTCAAAATTAAATCAGCATCAAAGATATAATTTTATTCTAGTAACTGTTATATTTATTATGTAGTTTAGATATAATATATGAACACTAAAAAAACATATAGTAACGAATGTTATATTTATTATGTAGTCTAGATATAATATATGAACACTAAAAAAAACATATAGTAACGAACATTATGGATATTTCTATATAATATTGTAAAAAAAAATTAACAATATTTTTCATTAAATATTAAATTGTTGAAACTACCACACAAAAATGGCGATGAAAGTTCTCTATTTATAATAATTTACAAAATAGAGAAATATGGTACACTACAAATAATATGGAAAGAACAAGGAAGAATAATAAATGAATACAATATATTTTCCTTTAATAAAACGGCAAATATGGTAGGCCATAATAGATATTTGCCTTATAATAAACGGTCAGCTATCCTTAACACCCCCGCAAGCTAATCATCGAATTTGAACGAAGTGAAGCTTGGATCTGAAAAATTCGAAGAGAGGTCGAGAAATACTTTTTGTGAAGATGTTAGCAACTTGGAGATGGGAAGGTACATATTGTGGGCGAAGTTTGCCAGCGATAACATGTTCTCGAAGAAAATGATAATCTAGTTCAACATGTTTGGCTCGCTTGTGAGAAACAGGATTAGCGATAAAAAAAAAAAAAAAAATAGCACTTTTGTTGTAACATAAAAGTAAGGGCTGCTATGAAATAAGGATCTTGAGGTCATGCAAAAGATGTGTAACCCAAAGAAGTTCAGCAGCAGTCGTGGCAAGAGCACGATACTCAGATTCACAGTTGGAGCGTGAGATAGTACGTTACTTTTTGGCACTCCAAGAAATGAGATTGTTACCAAGATAAATAGAATAGTCAGATGTAGAACAACGAGTATCGGGACAACCAGCCCAGTCAGCATCCAAATAAGCGACTAGCGTACGAGGATTAGTGGATGGACGAAAGGTAAGACCAAAGTGGAGAGTTCCTTTGACATAGCGAAGAATACGTTTGACAGCTAGAAAGTGATCTGCAGTAGGGGCATGCAAGAATTGACTGACAGAATTGATGGCATAGGCAATATCTGGACGCGTAATAGTCAAGTACTGAAGGGTGCCAACAAGAGATCTATTGAGAGTAGGATCAGAGAAAAGAGATCCATCAGCAGTCAAGTGTTGAAAAACAACCATGGGAGTGTGGACTGGTTTGCTATCGAGCAACTGAGCACGAGTAAGAATATCTCGACCATATTTTAACTAACAAATAAAGAGACCATTAGAAGTGGGTGAAGCTTCAAGACCAAGACCAAGAAAGTAACTGAGAGAACCCAAATCTTTGGTGGCAAACTCAGAATGAAGCTTGCGAGTAAAGCTGTCAATAAGAGATGAGTTGTTGCCGGTAACAATAATGTCATCAACATAAAGAAGCAAATAGACAAAGTTAGATTGTTGATGAAAGACAAAAAGGGACGTGTTCGTGCGACTACAAGAAAAACCAAGTGTGAGAAGAAATGAGCTAAAACGCTGAAACCAGGCGTGAGGAGCTTGCTTTAAGCCATAGAGGGCTTTCTTTAATAGACAACCAAAGGGATAAATACGACAACCAAAGGGATGAAAATTGTCATAATGTAGAGAGTAGTCATAGAGGAGGTCAAAGGGTGACTTACCTCCAAGAAGTGGAGTAGGCAACCGGTTGATAATATAAGCTGCAATGCTGAAGGCGTCAACCCAAAAACGAGGAGAAAGATTGGAGTGAAAGAGAAAGGTCAAGCCAATCTCAGTCACATGACGGTATTTTCTCTCAGCACAACCATTTTGAGCAGAGGTGTATATAGACAAGAGAGTTGATGATGGATGACAGCAGTAAGTAAATGAGTTTTAAAACAAGTGCTAGTAAATTCGGTACCTCCATCGCTTTGAAATACCTTGATACGAAAAGAATATTGATTTTCCACAAATTTTAGAAATTGAAGAAAAATATCAAAGAAATCAAATTTAAATTTTAATGGGTAAAGCCAAGTGAATCGAAAATAATCATCCATAAAAATAACATACTAAAGAAAACCCGAATTTGATTTGACGGGGGAAGGACCCCAAAGATCACAATGAATAAGATCTAACACATGAGACGACCTACGTTCATTGCGGGAATAAGGCAATCCATGACTTTTCGCAAGCTGACAAATACTACATAATGATGGAGAAGACAATAAAAACATAAGAGAAAGATGACCTTTTCTATTTAAAAAAGAAATAACAGAATGATTCACATGACCCAGACGAGCATGCCATAAATCATATGAAACATGTAAAGATTTGTTTCTAAGGACTGAAATAAAAGTAGAGTTGTCGCGCTCCAACACATATAGCCCTCCATCTCTTTTACCAGTTGCCACCACCCTTCCAGTTTGACGATTCTGGATACTAAGAAGATTATTAGTAAATGTAACGGAGAGAAGAAAATCAGACCTTAATTTACTGATTGAAAGAAGATTTTTAGTGAGATGAGGGACAACCAACACATCTAATAAGTGAATATTTATAACAGGAGAAAGAGTACCGGTGTGGGTAATGGTTAGGGATACACTATTTCCTACGATCACAGAGTTCTTACCCGTGTAATTTTTAAACTGATCCAAAAATAGATGGGTCAGCGGTCATATGGGCGGAAGCCCCAGTATCCAGAAATCAATCAGCAGCATTGGGTCCAGCAATAGAACATGACGTGTTGAAGCCTTCAGCAAGGTGAGAATGAGTAGAATCAGGTCGAACATACCGTTGGTTGCAGCGGTCAGCATAATGGCCCTCTTTGCGGCATATTTGACAGTGAGGTG